TTTCCCCCCTAAGGCTAATTTAAGCATAACAGAAAATCAGTCTAGAGAGAAATGTGGCTACACTGGGTCTCCAACACACAGTGGTGCAGTTTCATGCTTACACTAGACCCAAACATCCTGTTCTGAGGAAGAAACATTTAGCCTTATAGCCTACTCTCTCTGTACTCAGTTTTCTAATCACTGCACTCCCTTGGCTTTTACCCGGGTGTCTCTCACACCTCTGCATGACTTGCCGGTGACAAAGTGCATAATTTAAATGTGGTGGCTCATGCATGGCTGAATAACTGGGAAAAAATGCAGCTGTGACCAAGAAGTAGCACTGAGCCACCAAGTGATGTGTACATACGCTTTAGGTTTCAAAGCCAGCTCTGTCAGTGTATGGTAGAAACAAAACCTAAAGCATCTGGTGCTGAGGCACAGTGAACATTCTCCACATGCACTTATTTCAATGGAAGCTGATGACTTCCTGTGTTTTGCAGCCTGCAGTCCTACAGTTATAACAGATCTTTGTGCTTTCTGCTGGTGAGGATTCCAGCTCCCCTGGGGAACAAGCAAAAGAAGTGGTCTTCCAGTACGGAAAGAAGCATTCCCAAATAATCCTACCATGGTTAACTCCTGGCTCTGCTCTGGAAAATGAAGGAAAAGAAGCAACCTGTATCTGTATGCATGCATCATATACAAGAGTCTAGCAGACAACGTAAGGAAAACATTTAACTTATAAAGGATGTTGCCTCATTGTCCAAAATATCTCTGATTTTAATGTCTGACTGTCTGAAATGTCTCTGATTTTAGTATCTCACTGTCTGAAAGGTCTCTGATTTTAATGTCTCACTGTCTGAAAGGTCTCTAATTTTAGTTGCTGGAAGTTAAGCAACCAACAGATGAAGGCTGTGCCACAGGAACACAATTTAGTTGTAGAGTAAGTGCATCAAGTTACTCGGGTTGACAACACCATGGCCTTTTGCATTCCCACACGAACAGGTGAAGCAATAGTGGCACTGAGGTCAAAGGCAAAATTCATAGTGACTTCCGTGGAACCAGGATTTAAACCATGAGGTTTGGAAGTGGGTGAAGAGAGAGTTTTTCCTTCACCAAGAAGAAATGTATCTGTCTGTACTGCCTCTAAACTCTGACCATTCTGCCAGGAATAGAAACTACATAAGCTGGGAAGTTTTCCAGATTCATATTAACCCACTGCCATATTTCTTCTGCAAGTGACTATCATGATACCACCTGAATATGCTGAAAGTCAGTTAGCAAAAAGCAAAATGTATTTCAGGAACACTCACTTTCAGTATCTCCCAGAGGTATATAGACTTTTTACTATGAAAATTAATTCCTGCTTGACCTATGAATTTGCATTGGCAAGTTTTGTCTTTCTCAGGTGTACAGAAGAAGCTCAGATAACCCATTCAGGCTACAGAACCCTCAGATGCCACTAGTACGATTAAGAATAAAACAGGCCAAACTATCTGGCAGTGCTGATTACCATGTGCTCCAGGTAAACATAATGCCCAAGGCAATCTAAACCTCTCCATCTCACAGGGGTGCGTGCTGATCAGAGGCTCTGCTAAGCAGAACTCTCACCAGTATCTTAAAATAACCTCTAAAACATTCTTCTGAGACATAGGATACATCATCGTGTTATTTTATGAATCACAAAACTGGAAAACATGTAACTGAAACTGTTAAAATTTGCTTTCTAATGGCCATTGGTTTGCCCCTGTTTAGAGAATGATCTATCCGCTTTCTTCAGAAGCACCATCTCTTCATTTCAATCCCTTTTTATTTCTATGTCTCCCAGAGCTTTAGTCTGATTCTCGTTTTGCTCTTCCTGAGTAAATGAAGAATAGCTGTAGTGATGCCACTCATCTGCAGAGGGGCATCTTGCTTTCATGTTTTAACTCTGGCGTTGCTCAAGTCTGCTACTTTGAATTACCCCAAATCACACTGAAACCAGAATCAGGCCCAGTGTTTCTTGTGCAGTGACCTGCATGCATTCTGTTTAACAAGGTTTCATCCAGTCCTGAAAGCTGCTGCCACCAAACACATGTGTTGGCAGGAGTCAGTCTCATTCGTAATGGGAATTCTTAAGGATCTTCACAGCAGAAAATCCTCAGTGTCAGAACTGTATTTGCTGCTATTTCTAAAGATAAAGTCCTTCTGAAGCAGAGAATCTCTCTTCACTTGTTCTGCACACTCGAATTATAGTAGGTATTACAGTATACAGTATATACAGTATTGCCTTTTCACTGTATATTTCATTTGCGTGATACAAACCCATCCCTTTACTGCCACTTTGGAATTTTTACTTCCTCCTTGGCCTACTATTCTTTTTCCACATCTTCCCTGTCGAGAGAGAAAAAACAGCACTTTGGGGTGATACAATTCCTAAACAATCTGCTCTTCCTTTGGCCTACACCTCCCATGTCTTGATGCAAACTGGATGACAGCAAACCCCAGTTTCCTTGTTTAAAGGTAAGTAACGTGCTACGGATATGGTATTTTTGCTGCAATTTAGGATGGGGAAGGACTGTCTGCTGGGAATGGGACAGTGAAAATTAAAGTAAATGAGTTGCAGAAATAAGCAGGTCGGAATCCTGTTTCCCATCATCCATTCAACCACCATTCATGAAAGTAATAGCTTTAAAATTCAGAGAGCCTTAGTTAAATTGGGTAAGTCTTGTTTTTAAATAGTTGGCTGTTGTTGGGTCACATTAAGAACTTCCCTCCTGCTTACAAACAAAATCCGTATCGCATAATGATGCCAGTCAACCACGCTGGGCAACTCCTTTATCCTTTATATTGGATTAAATCCCTCTTTATGAGGTACAACTCAATCTTTGCCAATCTTAAGCCAGGCACAATGGAAGAATCTAAACCACCAGGTCCTTTTTCTGTTGCTGTTGAAGTGCTGTGCCTGTGCTACAAAGCTCTAGAAAGGCATTCTCAGTAGTCTGAATAGAATTAGGGCACATGTGGGTAAGTGCAGGGTGGGTGGACACAAGTAACACAAGCTAAGGGTTTCTTTCTAAATACCATATGATTTGTTGTCAGTCTTTCCCTCGAGTGATTTCAGTGCTCAGCTAAAATATGGGAAATGGTTTCAAATGTGCCTGCTGGGTAATGGGAGAGCTGAGAACTCACTAAAGGGATTCTTAATCAATGTTTAGGCTCTCGTGCATTGCAGTCAGTTTTTTCCCTTGATATTGCTTTTCCTTGTACTGAATACCTATGGGTTCATCAGGTCAAAAGGAACCATAGGTCTGTAGTGCAATAATTAGACCTCACTCGTTAGGGCCCAAACAGGCTCTAGGCTCTGCTTCTGTGACTGAGTAACATAGAAGTCCTGAAAGTTGCTTAGGAGACCATTTTGTTAAGTGACTGTTCTCAGAGCAGCTGGGTGGTGAAGAGATCTCCACCTCCTTTTAGATCTAGCTGCAAATGACTTGCTGAAGGTCCTAAATGTCCCTGCCAGAGAGGAGAACTTGCCTGCTTCATATGGCAAGACAGAGCTCATTCAAAGCTCCATTGCTTGCAGAATCCTTTGCCTTATTCCTTGTAACAGCTCCAGGGAGCTTCTAGGGGAGCTATGAGTATGTAGTTAGTATTACATCAGGCAACTCTTTTGAGCTGTGTACTTCATCCCATCTTGCTACAGGCCAAGGCACAGTTGTGCCCACCAAAAGGCACAGTTCCGTCGTGTCTTGCAGGATCTTTACATTGTCCCTGAATTAGAGTTATGCCCTAGCTGAGGTCCAGCAATCTCCCTTTCTGGTTGGATTCCCAAAGCAACAAAGGGAGCACAGAGAGTGAGGAAGCCCCTGCCTTCTTCTAGGGGCTTCTCCAAGCTTAACCTCTCTCCTATACAAAGCTAATGTAAGTGTAGGGCACAGCAAGTACCTCCATCAAAGGGCTTTTCAGGAGCAGGCCTAATTCCACAGATGGGATGTGCCTGATGCTTCCATCTCACCAGCCTCTGCCAAGCTTTCAGGCTGGTGTGGCTTATTTTGGGTTAGCTCCTGACCACCTCTAGGTAGCCAGGGAGTGCAGGGGACAGGGACATTCCGCTGTCACCTAAATCCCTTCTCAACCCAACCCCTTCTAGCTCCTAGAGAATCTCCAAAGCCCTGCAAGTGCACATGAAAGAAAATAATTTTGTTTTCTATTTTACCCGATGTTTATATGTTAATATTTCCTATGTTAAGAATTCCGTGTATATTTATGATTTTATTTGGTTACCATTGACTTTCATCTTATTTTGCCATTAAGTTCTTCACATTATTTCCACAATCTCTCTCCAAGGTAAGTTACATGGTGCTTCAAAGAACCTTGGTCACCTCCCTGACACCCTTTGCTCAATCCATAAGCCATTTTTACCTCCCTCTTACTGCTGTGCCATTAAACACATCCCCATCACACCAATTCCCTTAAGCTTAACCTGTGTATGCTCCTGATCTTCCAGAAGAACCAAAGTGACTGTGCTTTCCAGGAAGCCAGATGTCTCCAAGTGACACACCAAGCAGCTAGTGCCTCTGCAACTCCACCTGCTCCCAGCCAAGCAGCCATAGCAGGGCTTGCTCTGTAAGATGTGCCAAGACCCGCATTCTGTGGCATTTTTAGCTCTGTGAGAGGAAGCACGTAATCCAGGGGTCGGTAAAAGCATCACTGGTGATCACTGTGAGGACATTTCCCAAGCATTCCCTCATGGATGTGATTTTTATTCTAGCCAAGCAGCGTTCGCCTAGCAGCCAGCCCTTCTTGAACATGTCCTCCTCCTGCAGGGTTCCTCTGCACACAACATGCTTTAGTTGCCCAAATCTTCCCTTTTCCGAGCAATTCCTAGCAACAATTCCTCGTGACCAGGCTGCAAGAAGACGTTCATTACGCTGCCCCTTTTGGGGGGCTCTGATTTCGGAACGGCAAAGCATCACGTCGGGATCTGCACCCCGCGGTGCGGCAGCATCCCCCGCGCCCGCCTCCGCGCCCCCGCCACTCACCTCCACGAAGTAGAAGCAGGGCAGGAGCGTGACGCTGTCCTTGGTCACTTTGCCCTTGGGCCGCTCCTTGGCGGACATGCTGCCGGCGATGCGCTGCACCGCCCGCCGCAGCCCCGCGCCGCTCCGCCCGCAGCCCCGTGCCCGGCTCCGCACCGGCTGTAAGCGCGTCCCCGCCGCCGAGCGAGCGCGGGGCTGACGTCAGGAAGCTGCGGGCTGCGGGGTCCCGGACGCTTTAACTCCTTCGCAGCCAGGATGCACAGGGGCACAGGGATGTGCTGGGACACAGGGAACCGCTGGAATATAGGGAAGCACTGGGCACAGGGATGCACTGGGACACAGGGAAGCACTGGCTGCAGTGGGCGGCTATGCAACCTGTGCCAGCGCCTCAGCACCCTCACAGGGAAGAGCTTCTGCCTTAGATCTAACCTGAACTTGCCCTGTTTCAGTGTGAACCCATCACCCCTTGTCCTATCACTACAGTCCCCGATGAAGAGTCCCTTTCCAGCATCCTTGGAACCCCCTTCAGACACTGGAAGCTGCTGTGTGGTCTCCACGCAGCTTCTCTTCTCCAGGCTGAACAGCCCCAACTTCTTCAGCCTGTCTCCATGTAGGAGCTGCTCCAGGCACTGATCATCCTCATGGTCTCCTCTGGACTTGCTCCAATAGCCCCATGTCCTTCTCATCCCAAGAATGTAGCAGGTCTGATTTGCACTAGTCCAAAGATGATAGTGGTGACCAAGTCTGGGCATTGCTAGGGTGCATTTTTCACCTTCTCTCTGGGTTTTCAACTTGTTCTCTGTTGGGACTCAGCTATAGCAACCACTTTCTCAAATTGAGGAACCAAGATACAGCTAAGGTGCTACTCCATCATTTGTCCTTTGCTGTGCTGCCTGCAGCACGGTCCCAGCTTCTGCCTTACCTGCCCAAGCATAAGGGAGTAGCACCTGACACTCTCCATGCAGAGACAGGGTCTGTATCTCTCTTGATCTTGTGATATCCAGAGAGGGCTGCACTCATTTGGACCTTTTATCCTGACCTAACGTAATGGAGTAGGAGTACTTCTTCTCTGCTCAAGACTGACATTTAGGTTCCTGTGTGTCCTCTTTAGAACACATGAATATTGATGGAAATGGGAAAAAATCCTTTGCTGAGTGTAATGATAAAGCTTTTGGACTGATTAGTCTATATATTAACATCTGGAAACACACAAGTCCCCTCAATGCTTTTGCATTCAGCTTTTGTGACAGTTATTAGAAACTATGAGAGTGATTCAGTTTTACATAGAAGTTCCTTGGGTTGCTCTAGAAGTATGAGCAGCCTTCAAATGGGTTCATCATATATTTATGTCCTTATGAAATTCCCTCAGCATTGATATGACAGGGTGGAATGGCTTATGTGTAAATGAATGTATTGGGTTTGTATGGCAAGGGTTGGGGGATACAGAGGTGGCTTCTGTTCGAAGCTAATTGAAGCTTCTTCTCTTTCCCATAGAGCCAACGCCAGCTCCGAGATGGACTTGCCACTGACCAAGGCCCACTCCATCAGCAATGGTGGCAGTGCCTCTGGGGTAACAGGCTGAACAAGGGGGTAAAACCCAAACAGCAACTTCAGCTGGAGAGAGGAGTGAGAATATGCGAGAAACAGCCCTGCAGACACCAAGGTCAGTGCAGGAGGAGGCAGAAGGTCCTACAGGCACCGAAGCAGAGATTGCCCTGCAGTCCATGGAGGTTAACAAGGGAGAAGACGTGTACCTGCAGCCATGGAAGTTAACAAGGGAGCAGATACCCACCTGCAGCCCATGGCAGTTAGCAAGGGAGCAGATACCCACCTGCAGCCCATGGAGGACTCTACATACCACCTGGGGCAGCTAGATGTTTGCATTAAGCTGTTGTCCCATTGGAATCTTGTGCTGGAGCAGGTTTGCTGGTGAGAGCTGGGACCCACACTGGGTAGCCTGTTACTGAAGGGCTGCTTCCTATTGAAGGGATGTACCCTGAAACAGTTCATGAAGAACTGCAGCACATGGGAAGGACTCGTGGAGAAGTCCGTGGAAGACTGTCTGCCATGGGAGGGACCACACTGGAGATGGGAGGAGTATAAGGAGTCCTCCCCCAGGGAGGAAGGAGCTGCAGAGACAACATGAGATGAACTGATGTCAACCCCTATTCCCCATCCCCCTGTGATACTCAGGTAGGAGGGGGTGGAGAATTTGGGAGTGAAGTTAAGCTTGGGAAGAAGGGGGTGAGGAGATGTATTCAAAGATTTAGTTGTATTTCTCATTCTCTTGCTCTGATCTGACTGGTGATAAATTAATTTCCCTGGGTTGAATCTGTTTGCTTGTGACTAATTGCTGAATGATCTCCCCGTCCCTATCTCAGCCATGAGCCTTTCCTTATGTTTTCTCTCCTTTGTCCAGCTGAGGAGGAGGGGTTGTAGAACAGCTTTGGTGGGCGTCTGGCATCCAGCCTGGTCAGCCCACCACAGTGAGTATGTCATCTGTCCCGTCCCCTACAGGGAAATATGTTGGTGATAAAAAACTCAGGAAATGCCTCCCATCCTTTTTAATCAAGAGTCTTAGGAGGCAGTGTGGTGTATGATGCACGATTTATGTGTTTAGGGCCAGGCAGCCTGCTCTAGTGTGAGGTGTCCCTGCCCATGGCAGGGGGTTGGAACTGGGTGAGCTTAAGGCCCTTTCCAGCCCAAACCAGTCTGGGATTATCTATGTGCAGGACAGTCATGTACAGGATCTGCACTCACGCTGACAGCTCTTTTTTTACCCACCTTCAAGCAATCTCGGTAACAGGAAAATGTCATGGAAACATGCTAGCACAAAGCACAAATCCTTTTGGTTATGCTTTCCCTCAGCCAAACCCATTGAGTTAGTAGAAAAATGTGAAGAACTTGGGGAACTAGAAGCTGAAATCCATAGATCTGGAGCACAGGCCTCTTATGACCCATCAGGAATGGGGTTTTAAGAAGAGAGATTGGTTCTTCAACAAAACCAAACAGTGGCCATTTGGTGGGTGTCCCTGGTGATTCCAAGTGGATTGTCAAGCTGAGCTGTTAAAACAAAGCTTTGCCCCCCACCCCCCACCCCAAAGAAGTACTATCAGAGGAGCTTCTCTAGGTGAAGATTGCCCCTGCCTTTGAACTTGTCAGGCAGACAGCAGCTTCCACAGCTATTAGAAACACGGTTTGCCATCACTTTCAGCACAGCCCAGTGTGTTGGCAGAGCTGCAATGCATAAAACATGACTGCAGGTCCTTAGCTCTTTACCCAGGTGCTCTCTTCCCCCTGCGGCAAAGTCTGCCTGTATTCCCAGGCTTTGGCAAATGCTGGGCACAGGCAGTGACTGTGGTTTCACTGCGCCGTGGGAACAGAAAGCACACTGCATAAGCAGGGCTGTGTCACTGAATAACCCCCCTTGCAAAAGCAGGATGGAATCATTTGAGGAAGAGCTGGAACTGGCTGTGAGCTGGTGGGTCTGTGGCTGGGCAGAGTGGCACTGGGATTGTAGCAAGCAGAGGCTGCAGCAGCAGCTGCAGTGGCTATTAATGTTGTTTAATAGCGTAAGAAAACTCCCTTTCCCCTGGTCACCACCATTTTCCTGCACAAATGCCATTTCTGGGAATGTACATGGATGAGGGTTAGCTCTTTCCTATTATATGGATGGATGGTTTGGGTTCATTTTGCCCACTGAGCGTGGAATAAATGATGTGAACTCAGCATATTGAAACAGTAATACTCTTCTGGAGAAAGAGTGGCATATGGGCACTGGGTTCTGCTGTGTGGAACTGACAGATGATTTTTGTTCCGCTTTGCTTGCCATATCAGAATGTAGAAATCTGGCTCTGTGGCATGTGTGTGTGTGTGTACACACACACTATATATGTTTATTCTTCTTTTTTTCCGCAGTCCCTCAGGAAAATGGCTGGCTGGGGGAATTTGGGTTTTTTCCTTTTCCATGTTTCCAGTGCAGGTTTTCCTCTTTGTCCCATCTGTAGCTCCCATGTGAGCTGCACAGAGCACACTTGGATAAATGGCATGTGACAGCACTGGGAGATTCCTAGTGGAACAAGCTCCAAGCATACAACAAAGATCCACAGTGCAAACGGGAGGGCTCAATTCTGTTGGGAAGCTGTAATTGCATCAAGCGATTGTTTCCTCACTATGCCTAATCTGTTGCTGTAAAGCTGTGTCTTCTAATGTCTTTGGCTACTAGATATAGGTCACTGCTTTAAAGTAGCAGATGAGTGACTGATTCCTGGCTTTTCTGCTGCCTTTTACACTGCAGCGTTTGGTCTAGAAAATGAATTTTGCATGAGTCATGCTAGGATCATTCTTCTGAATCCGTGGCTTTAAATACTACTTAGGAACACATCTACACACAGAAGTGCCTGTGCTTTCTGGCCTACGGCAAGTTTTGGGTTGCAGGCTATATGGCTGTGTAGTGCTGGACTGTGGTTTGTATGAACTGCTTCCTCTGAAGTCAGCATCAGGCTGAATGGCTATGTGGCTCTTTAATGAAGCTGCCTTGTGGCTGGCTAATGTGGGAAAAGGAGGCTGTTGTGCGTTATGCCCACTATGCTTTTATTTTGATGCTGATAATGGTTACCTGGATACATCTGCATTTAAGATATCTTAGTTACAGGCATGAAACCAGCAAAATCCCAGACTGTTTCTACAATACTGGTGCTTATCAATGGTTTGAAGAACCAGGGGTTCTTTAAAGCAGCTTTGTGGAGATAACAGTAAGGCACAAATCTGGATTTTTATGTGGTTAAATGTCACAGAGGTTTTGCTTGAATCTGAACAACAGAGATTTGCTTGAATCTAGGCCAGCTGCTCATCACCAGCTAATTAAACATCAGCCTCTTGGTGCAGAGGTCGAGTGACAAACTGCATCATGCAATTACCAGTAGTACACATTTGACTCAATGGGAATGCAGAATTCCCAGCAGGAATCCTGTTTGCCTTGCAGTCTGTATAAAATACTCTGTCAGAAAGGGGCTGATGTACACATCTGACATTTTGAGCACTACTGCCGCAATAGCCTGTTGATATTAATCCATCCTTATCTAACCAGTGCATGTATTTGCTTCTGAACTTAGTTTTGCCATT